CAAATAAAAGATTTTTGGAATCGTACAAAACTAATGGGAATCTTCGGTAACCTTCAGCAACTTTTAGGAATCGTGCAGAATCCACGCGACTTCCTAGGGATCCTCGAACAGCCTCGAGAATCCATAGGAACTCTCAGGAACTTTGATAAATCCTCGGTAACTTTTAGGAATCCTCGGTAACCCTCGGTAAATTTTAGGAATTATTGGTAACTTTCAGCCTTGTGACTTTATCGGAATCCTCGGGCAGTCTTAAGAATCCCGGGGAACTTTCAGGAACTTTGAGGAATCCTCGGAAACCCTAGGAAGGAATATAATACAAATCCTCGGAAGCAGTGAGAACTTTTAAAGGCCTCGGATCCTTAAAGGATTCATCGGAAACTCGCGTGAATCCCCAGAATCCCTCAGGAATCCTAGGAAATCCCCAGAAACCCACAGGAATCCTTGGGAACCATTCAAGAATTCTCGGGAACCTTCGAGAACTCCCCGAAGGAAATCGTCCCTGCACCGGCTTATCTCTCGCCGCTCGGCGAAATGTCTCTCCTTATTTTTATTCATTTCTGTTTTTTTCCCCGTCTCTTTATTTTTTTCTCTCTTCCCTCCCCTTTCCTCTTTCTTTTCTGCTTTCTGTTCTCGTCTCAGTTTTCCCTACGCTTAGTCTTCTTTCTCATTCTCTTCTCCTTTTCCTTATCCTTCTTCTCCCTCCCAGTGCCCCTCTCCCTTCCCCCCCCCCCTTCTCACATTCACCAAGTTGTAAACATGATCGACTCATGGGGCTTCGGAGACGGGGTGGGGTGGATGGGGGGAAGGGAGGACATATGAATATATGAATATATATGAACATATGCAGGCTTCATGATAAACAAATTGGAACTATGAACAGTTACACATGCACATTTAACACACACACCATATATATGTGTGTGTGCCCGTGTATGTGTGTGACAGAAAGTTTCATACTACTTTGCATATGCGACAAGTATGTTTCCCATGGTTCGTCTGTATTCGACGAGTTCAACGGATGACAAAGCGAACCAAAAAGGACGTACAGAATATCTGAGGGTTTTACGCTTTTAAAGAAATGGGCAACACATTAAAGAGGATTCCATGCCTATTTTTAGTCCGTAAACACTACAAAGTAATTGAAAAGAATATTAGTAAATCCGGCTTTGATCTCGTTCTTTCTCTCAATAAGGAAAATTTCAGAGCTTTCAATGCACGCTGTCTCTTCCCTTCCTTTCATCGCACTTCACAAGGTCGCGCAATGGCTGACTTGGGAGCGAGCGCGAAAAGACAGCAGAGAGAAAAGATCAGACAGGATATGGATAAGTCCGATATATGATGCTGAGCCTCGCCCGGGGTATGAGGGGAGCCCGCCCTGTGCCGACTAATGTCGACTCGATCATCGTGTCATCCAGTGCTGACGCGATAGAGCTTAGTCCTTACCCACCGCGGTGCCCCACCAGCGGTAACTTCCTGGCGACAATTGCAACTTCGGCTGGCGGGCGTGCCGACCCCTCGGATGAGAGGCCGACACGTTACTAGTGTACTAGTCCGGAAACTATCAGACAGCGCGTCCCGAGTCTAATTTAAGATAAGGTCACACTAGTCTTCTCCGTCCTGAGATCCCTAGACAGAGAAGAGAATTTAACTCTCCCCCCTCCCCCCCCCCCCTTGGCCGCGATGTTCTCCTTCGGGCGTCTTGCTGGCCGTAGGCATCCTGGCTATCGTGGGCGGCCTCGGGCAGGCGAGGGCCGACGACAGACTGCCCGCCGCCCTCGGGGAGCTGACGGCCGTCCTCAGGGACCTCGGCGGGGAGGTGACGGCGGGGATCAACAAGCTGCTGAGTGAGCTGCAGCAGGAGAGGCTGCGGCGCGGCGAGGAGGTGCAGGCGCTGCGGGAACAGGCCGCCGACAACAGGAGAGGTGAGGAGGGCGGGCGGGTCAGAACAGGTGTCGTCGGGGGACCAAGGACGCTGGGGATGCTGGCCGGTGACTGTCACCTATACACACATACATACAAGTATATATATATATATATATATATATATATATATATATATATATATACACATACATACATACATACATATATATATATGTGTGTGTGTGTATATGCATATATACACGCACACACATATATACATACACACGCACACACGCCCACACACACACACACACACGCCGCACCCAAGGGCGTGACGCCGCTTTGTGCCGGCGTGCGGGCGCGGGAAAGGTCGCGGCGGGATCAGTGCATGGCCGGCGCGCCCTTGCATGGTTTCCTGAAGCAACGCGGGATATAAATAGCCACCTAATTAAGGTTCTCATTCAGCCGGGAAAAGGAAAAAAATACAAGGGATGGATGAGTCCGCCGCGGTGAGCTGCAGGAAGGAGGGGGGGGGTCAATCTTTCAACATTCGAGTGAGCGAGAAGGTGGGAAGGGGAGATGGAAGAGAGAGAGAGAGAGAGAGAGAGAGAGAGAGAGAGAGAGGAGGAGAGAGAGAGAGAGGGAGAGAGAGAGAGAGAGAGAGGGAGGAGGAGGGAGAGAGAGAGAGGAAGGGAGAGAGAGAGAGAGAGAGGAAGGGAGAGAGAGAGAGAGAGAGGAAGGAGAGAGAGAGAGGAGAGGAGAAGGGAGAGAGAGAGAGAGAAGAGAGAGAGGAAGAGAGAGAGAGAGAGAGAGAGAGGAAGGGAGAGAGAGAGGAAGGGAGAGAGAGAGAAGAGAGAAAGAGAAGAGAAAATGAGAGAAAGAGAAAATGAGAGAAAGAGAAAATGAGAGAAAGAGAAAATGAGAGAAAGAGAGAGAGAGAGAGAGAGAGAGAGAGAGAGAGAGAGAGAGAGAGAGAGAGAGAGAGAGAGAGAGAGAGAGAGAGAGAGAGAGACAGAGAGAGAGAGACAGAAAGACTGAGAGAGAAAGAAAAAGACTGACGAATAAATAAAGACCCGGATGGCCCTCCGTCAGACAGGCAGGGAAAGACACGGGCGTCGGACGTCAGCGCAAACCTCTTCCTCCTGATTCCTGCTCCATAAGCCCATCGGATGAATAGAATGTGCAAGATGTTCGACGTTCAGTGTCCCCGGTATAGCATGTAGGTCTGATCTGTACTGCAGAAAGAGCCTATTTATATATGAATGATAATGCATGTGATAAGGGTAGTGCGAGTGGAGATATGCGGTTGGTTTGTTAAAATCGTGTCAGGCGCGACCCAATAAATATTCACATATATAAACATGCATATACACAAACAAATGCACGTCTGTCTATCTATATGATATGTATTTAAATAGTTAATAGATATACATTTATCTATCTGGTAGATATACATTTATCCATCTGATATACATTTATCCATCTGATAGACATTTATCCATCTGATCATCTGCCCATCTGATAGATATGCATGATAGATATCCCATCTGATAGATATACATTTATCCATCTGATAGATAGATAGAGATAGATATACATTTATCCATCTGATAGATAGATAGATAGATATACATGATAGATATTTATCCATCTGATAGATATACCATCTGATAGATAGATTTATGATAGATATACATGGATAGATATACATTTTATCCATCTGATAGATATACATTTATCCATCTGATAGATATACATTTATCCATCTGATAGATATACATTTATCCATCTGATAGATATACATTTATCCATCTGATTATGCATGATAAGATATGCGCGATATAGCATGCAGATAGGATAGGATATGACGATATATACATGAGGGGGCATGTCTATCTATCCGGTAAATATGCATGTCTATACTGACAGATATGCGTTTATATCAGTGTATATGCAGGGCCGTACGTGCGAATATTCAGCGGGTCGGGCATCGCACATTTCCAGCGGGCTGATGGAAAGGCATTCATTATTTAGTGACTTTTTAACGGTTATGGCATTTTTTCTGTTTACTCTCTTCTTTTATCTATTTTCTTTTAATTCTCTTCTTCCATTCCTCCCATTACTCTACTCTTTCTATTGTTCGTTTCCCCTATATTGTATCCTCTTCTTCTTTCCCCCTTTTCTCTGCTCACCCTCCTTCCACGTCCTGTATTTTCTCCTCCTCTTCTTACCTATTTTCTCTGTTTCTCTTTCTTCCACGTTTCGCAACTTCCCGTCTTCTTTCCCCCTTTTCTCTGCTCCTCCTCCCTCTTCTTATCCTCCCTCGTTCCCCTCTCTCCCCTCATTCTTCCATCCCTCTTGCCATTCTTGGATTCCCTCAATTCCCTTTCTCCCCCCTCTTCTCCGACGTTCAATGAAGCCAAACAAATGATCGGATGAAAGTCATTAATGAGGCTAATATCACCTTCTTCCTCCTCATTAGACCAATAAATCTACTTCAGAGAAATGCAAATTGTTACTTCGCTGGGAACGCATGAATTAATATTGATGTTTGGTGTTTCTGTTGTCGCTCTTACTCTCTCTGTCTCTCTCTCTTCTTTTTGGTGTGTCTTATTATGCTTCTCTTGTTCCTTATTACTATAGTTATTATTATCATTATTACTGTTCATTATCTTTATTATCATTCGTTATTATTATAATTATCATTATTATTATCATTAATGTTATCATTGCTATTACCTTTATCATAATAATAATTATCATTATCATTGTTATTACTTTTATTTTTATTATTACTATTATCATTACTGTTATCAGTGCTATTACCTTTATCATAATAATAATAATAATAATAATAATAATTACTATTATTATTACTGTAATTATTATCATTATCAATATTATTATCATTGTAATTGTCATTTTTATTGTTATTAGTATTTTCAGGATTATCAATATTATCATTACTATTTATAATCATTATCATTATTATAATCATCATCATATTCATTACTATCATCGTTATTATTATTTTCCTTATCGTCCTTATTATCATTCTCAATATCATTATTATTATTATCATCATCATCACTATCATTATCAATATTATTATCATCATTGTCATCATCACCATTATTATTATTATCATAATTATCATTATTATTCTGATTATTATTATCATTATTATTCTGATTGCCACTATTGATATCACTATCATCACCATTATCATTATTATTATTATCATTATCATCATCATCATTATAATAGAAATAATAATAATAATTAATATTATTGTCATCAACATTATCATCATTACTATCATTATCATCACTACTTTTATCATTATCATTATCAATATAATTATCTATATCACCATTCTCATTATTGATATGATTATCAATACTATTATCATCATCAAGACCATCATCATCATCATGAACACCATCCACATTTTCAACATCAACTTCATATTCATAACCGCTATTATTATAATCCTAATAATTATTACTATTATCCTTACCACCATCATTGCGATCACGATTACTATGACTACAATTAAAAGTGTTTGTCGAGTGAACATATCAGCTTGATTCGTTAAGTGATGTGAGTGAGCGAAAGTTTTTGAAGCGCGGTGAGAGTAGTGTCAAAAGGCTTCGTTTAGCTGTGCCAACTTTCGTTCATCATCTAAAGCCTTCTGTACTCTGTTCTTAAAGCATGGTTTAGTTTGTTATTGTCTCTCTCTGGACCTGTTCTGGTGGTAGGGTGTAGTTTGAGTGAATAATGATGAGAAGGATATGATGATGAGAATAAAAGTAACAATAATAACAATTATAATGATAAAATATAATGATGGTTATGATGATAATAATAATATCAATAATAATAATAATACTAACAACAACAACAATAATAACAATAATAATAATAATGATAATAATAATGGTGATAATAAGAGCAATAATAATGATGATACTAATAATGCTAATGATAACGATAATGATAATATCATTAATGATGATAACAATAATAATAACAATGATGAATTAGAATGAACAATCTGTATCATCATGGTAATCTTCCTTATCACAATCACATACACTTTATCATTATTATCGACATCGGTCATTATAACGTTCACCTTCATCTTTGCAATTAATGGCATACACCTGAGGAAAAAATAAAACTCTCTTTTGTCCTCGATAATGAGCGGGTTGCAGAAAATTCGCGACGTCGAGAAAGTGCCTGACAGCGTCTGGCGATTGGCACAATATGGGGGGAAGCAAGGGGGGGCACGCAAATGTGTCTTTTTCTCTTTTCCTCTCTCTACCTCTGTCTCACTCTTTCTTTCTATCCTGTTTTCTCTTTCTGCCTTCCTCCATCCTCTCCGTCTTTCTACCCCTCACTCCTTCCTTCTGCCTATCCTTCCCTCCCTCTCTCTCCCCTCCATTCCTACCCTCCGCCTATTCTTCCTCCCCTCCCTGCCTCTTTCCCCTTTCCCATGTGCGTATGCCCCCCCCACCTCCCTGCTTCCCCTTACCCACCTGACCTCCCCCTCGCCAGCCCTGGACGTCCTGCGCGCGGAACTGGTGGCGGTGGCGAGCGGCAGGTGCCCGGCAGCCGGTCACGGACCTCTGGGCGAGGGCGGCGGCGCAGACGTGCGAGCCATGGGTGCAGGCATGGGCGGGGATGAGCGGGCGAGGTCGGCCTCTCCTCCGGGCGGCAGAGGAGTCGAGGGCGACGCCAGCGCTGATGAAACGCCGCCAGATGGAGGTGTGTAGGCGCGCGCGTACTCTCTTGTGTGTGTGTGTACATATCTTTGTGTGTGCATGAGCAACCATGCTTGTCTTTATATAAAGGACCTCGTTCATATCCACGTAACTTACGATTCCCTTTCTCGAATTAGTGAATGTTGATAATATCTGATACAACTGGTCGTGAGACTGCCTCTTTGAACCCGTCCAACCAGAGTAAGTGAACGGCGGGTTTCCCTCCCGCAGACTGCCCGCGCCCCTACAAGCGCTTCGGTAGGTACTGCCTGACGCTCTTGCAGGAGCGCAACAAGTGGGAGTTTGCGAGGTCGCGCTGTCACCTGCACGCCCGCTCCATGGGCGGCGGGCGCGCCACGGTCAAGGGCGATCTCGTTGTGCCGCACGACATGGAGGCTTTTAAGGCGTTTATCGCAAGCACGGACTTCGGTAAGACCATCCTTTCATGACGTAATCATTATTATATGACTGTTCTTTACCCTTCAGCTTCTGCCTGGTGCTCCTTCCGTTCCCTCCTCGCGCTCCTTGCGGGCGGCCCTCTGAAGCCTCGTTCCCTTGCAGGCGGCGCTCCGACCGGGCGCGCGTGGGTGGGCGGCTCGGCGGAAGGCTGGGGAGGCGTGTGGGCGTGGGTGGACGGCTCGCTGATGAACGAGCTCCCGTGGGTGTACTCGCAGGCGAGCGGCGACGGGTCGCGGATCGCCGTGGACCACGAGAGCGTCTTCCACACCGTTGGCGACGATGAGATCCTGTGGTCCGTGTGCCAGTACTTGCCGGCGTGAGGAGGCCGCCGCCGATGGACAACCTGCCTGCACAGTTTTACAGTTTTTATCATCATTTTTTCTTTCTTTCGACATCCTATCGGTGTGCTTTCTGAGTTTCTGACTTTTCTGCGCATGTCACACATTATTTTTATTTGCGCTTGTTTCCTCCATAGGCCTCTTTTCTTGTCTTAATTTCTCATTTTCATCACGTGTTGCCTGAGTGTTTTCTCTTTGTTTTGAATAAATTTTCAGAAAATCATGAGTTATATTCATATAGTGCACAACCTAAGACAAACACACACACACACACACAGCAAGAGAGAGAGAGAGAGAAACGGAGAGAAGCGAGGAAAGGAGACGACAAGGCACGGGCCGAGAACGACCAAGAGAGCCACGCGGAGAGACAAGGTAAATAGAGCAACTAAGTAACGCCAGGAGAGAATTAGCGTCATAAGCAGAGTGAGTAAAAGGCAGAGCGATTTTCAGCGCCGGCTCAAAGGGGCAAACGAATCTCGTTAAGGAGCTACAGCGAAGGTAATTAATTCTGTAGCGAATAATGATTACCCGGATGAGGAGGCCGCTTGACGCCCCGCGGAGACGCCGGGACAAAAAGGGAGGGTGATGATAAAAATGTGCATAAAGGAAATGGAAAATGGTAAGCGGTGGAAGCAAGGATAGAAGAAAAAAGGAAAGGGAGGAAAAAAAAGGAGAGGACGGGAAGGCAAACAAAATACAGAAAGAAAAAATAGAAAAAATACAGATTATTTTCCTATTTTTCAACATACATTCCGTTCCCTGCGTTTTTTTTTTTTTTTTTTTAAATCTTTTCCTCTTCTTTTTTCAAGCCTTTCATCCATTATTTTCGCTTCTCCCAGATCCAGACATTGCTATGCGAAAGGAGGGATTGAGTAAAGACAGGGAGAATAGCAGACAAAGAGCACACCCTTCACGATTCACGAAACCAGGCAGTCACCAACTTGCCCAAACAACCATCTTCTCGCCTGTTGTGAAGTTCTTGTTCGACTATTCACTCGTCACTGCAATCACGTCTTTCTCACAAAATATCTATGTACGAGAACTAATCAGGAAGTAAATTAACCATCAATTTCGTGACCCGGTCCATAAGTTTATCAAACCAAGTTGGCAAAAAAAGTGTTACTTAACGGTTCGCTTATATTTCAAGGTCAGGATCCCTTGCACAGATACGGACGAAATAACTCCGCCTGATGATAAAAAAGGATTTTAAAGCGAAATAATTTCTTTCATTAGTAATCTTTTTCTTTTTTTCCCTCTTCGTTTCTTTTATCTTTTTTTTTTCTTTTACATTTCGGAATTTTTCTTGGTGAACACAATCTCCTCGCATCCAACTCCATCCCCCAGCATTCGAATGTGTGAACCGCCGGCTTCGGATACGGGAATCGAACTGGCGTTTCGAACATTACCAACGCTGGCGAACGAGGAAGCGCAGAAGGCTGTGCACGACTATCACACGACCCAAAAAGTATGCATGACGAATATGAATAGAAAGAAAAGAAATATAAATAACAGAAATACAGAAATATAAGTAAATAAGAAAAACCAATAAATCAAAACTCACAACTTCCAAGCGATCGGCGATTTTGCTCAGGTGGTCTTTGTTGAGGTTCTGCAGGAGAGGCACCGACGTCAGGAAGTTGATGTTGTCCTCCATGCGCTTGAGGCCCGTGCGCATCATCACCTGCTGGAACACGCGGCGGTCCAGCACCCACAGCTTGGAGTTGGTCACGGCTGCGGGAGGGCGAGGGCGTGAGAACGGCGGCGGCGAGGGTGAGGGGAGGCGTGGGGAGGAGGAGGGGGGAAGGGAGAAGGGAGAGGAGAGAAAAGGGAGTGTGGAGAGGAAGAGGAGTGAGGTGAGGAGAGGGAGAGGAGGAGGAGGAAGAGAGATAGAGGAAGAAGTAATAAAAAGGAAGGCTTTGAGAAGAGGAGAGAATGAAAAAAAAAATTGAAGGGATGTTCAGAGCGGTTTGTGTTTGTGTACATATGTATATATATATATATATATATATATATATATATATATATATATAATATATATATTATATATGTATATATATATAATATATTATATATATATATATATATATAGAGAGAGAGAGAGAGGAGAGAGAGAGAGATGGGGGGGGGGGGGAGCTTACACAAATTGCACTGTAATAACTTGAGATCTTTTGTGCACGAGATTATAATAATGAGACCAATGGTAGAACTGTCTTGGGAAGGCAAGGGGGTGAAGAGAAAATGTTCACATATTCAAGCAATAAGCACAATCTAACTCTCTCTCTCACTCACATACCCACACGCATACACAGATAACCACCCACGAAAACGAAAACAAACGCACACACACAAACACTTGACCTCATCTGTTATCATATGCCGTTATCAATGCTTGACCTACTAGCAGCCTTCTCTGTTATCAGTTTCACAGGAGACAGCGGACATCAGCCTCTGCTCATCCTGCTTCTCTCGGACTTCCTTACCTTCTGAGGGACAAAAGGGGAGACAGAGTAGGGGAGAAAGAGAAAGGGGAGACACAGGTGAGAAAGAGAAAGGGGAGATAGAGTAGGAGAGAAAATGAGAGGGGAGACAGAGAAATAGACAAAGTGAAAGCGGAGACAGAGACAGGGACAAGGAGAAAGGGAAGAGAGGTAGGAAGAGAAAGAAACGTGGGAAGGAAGGAATAATAGGCAGGGTATGTGGACAGACTGTTGGAAAGATGTCTGAATAGAGTGTCAGGTGAAAGGTAGGCAGGCAGACAGATAAATAGACATATAGATAGATAGATGGGGGAAGAGACGGTGCGCGTGTGTGTACGTGAGAGAGAGAGAGAGAGAGAGAGAGAGAGAGAGAGAGAGAGAGAGAGAGAGAGAGAGAGAGAGAGAGAGAGAGAGAGAGAGAGAGAGAGAGAGAGAGAGATGAAGGGAGAGAAGGAAAGTGAGAGAAAATTTGTATGCGTGCGTTTTTGCGTATTTTAAGTATGTATGCGCGCGTGTGATTCCAAAGAAAATTGTTTTGCATGAATTAAGAAAACGAAGACGTCAGCCGCGTGTGGGCTTCACCCTTGGCCTCTGACCCGTGCGAGGCGTCGTCGCGAGGAACCTTCAGGGCGGGTAATAAAAAAAGAAAAAGAAAGAAAGGAAAATAAAACCCGCTTTGAAGCCGGGTACTTAACACGCACACGTGCTCATACGCACACGCTTTTATTCACAGTTACACATAAGAGAGGGGAGGGAGGGGGAGGGAGGGAGGGAGGAAGGAAGGGAGGGAGTGAGTGAGAAGGAGGAGGGGAAAGAAGGGGACGGTAGCAGGAGGAAGAGGGAAATAAAGGGAGGATGGGAGAAAGGAAGTAGGAAAGATGGAAGGGAAGGAGGGAACAGAAGACAGGCAGACATACAGACAGATTGATAGATAGAGAGATGGACATAAATTACATACAAAGAGACAGATTGATAGATAGAGAGACAGATAGAAAATACATACAGACATACTTAAACTAACAGATATACATATATGTCGTGACAGAAATAGAACTCAAGAAAAAAGAGCAATAAGAAGACTAAAGAAACAAAGAGGGCAAGTGCGGGGCGCCAGCGAGTGCTCAGCCGCGTGCCGTGTGGGCAGATCACCTCGAGAGACGGACCGAGCAGGACGAGGACCGGAGAGAACATGGCATCTATGGCGTTGCGTTTCAAGGTAAGGGTGCCATGCCGGTGCGGATAATTAGTGACTATTGGACCGAGTAGTATGCTCTCCAGGTGATTTCAGTACAGTAAATAATAGTTATGTGTTGATTTAGATTATAACTTTTACAAATATTTTAACTACTTAAACAAAAGTAAAAATAGTAAAATTAAAGGGCTTCTCTTTTTTTCCTTAATACTGATATAATATTTTGAAGAAAGGGTGGTTGCAACAGGTAATTCCATTCATCATTACAGTTAAATGATTAATGATTCGGTCTTTGACTCTTAATGCCTTATTGTACAGGCATAAGCCCCATATATATAAATAAATAAATAAATAAATATATATATATATATATATATATATATATATATATATATAGTGAGAAAAGAGAGAGAGTTTTACAATTAAAACGATCGAAATAATAAAAAATAAAATTTTTGGAGGGAGACAAACGCGCCTTTTGAAACCACCTCTTTTAACAACCTACAACAAATATACATTTTTTAAACACATCCACGCAATCAATCACAAAATCTAGGAATCAGAATTGAACTCAGACAAACAAAAACAACAGACAGACAAAGAGATTAAAAATACTAACAAACACACGCATCCACAGAGGCACACGCACACACACATACACAAACACACAAGACACACTCTAACAAAGTTCAAAGAAGTTTAAGGAGAAAAGATGAGGTAGAAGGAGAGGAAGGGGGGGGGTAAGGGAAAGGAGGGGGGGGTAAGGGAAAGGAGGGGGGGGGGGTTGCTGAGCTTCTAACAAGCACTCTGTCCTTTGTTATTCCTCTAACAAGCGCTCTGTCTTTTCTTTTAACAAGCACTAGATTTTAACAACATAAAGGTAATCAATATAATGGCTTTCATAATAATATTAATAATCCGACAAGAATGTTCACGATATTGGTAATAACAACTAATTGTTACTAAAGATTATGATTACAATAATGATAATGATACAAATAATAACGATGATGATTATATAAAACACAGCAACAATAATGATGATAATAATAGTAATAATAATAATTATTATAAAAATGATAATAATAATAAACAGAGAGAGAGAGGGAGGAGAGAGAGGGAGAGAGAGAGAGAGAGAGAGAGAGAGAGAGAGAGAGAGAGAGAGAGAGAGAGAGAGAGAGAGAGAGAGAGAGAGAGAGAGAGAGAGAGAGAGTGGGAGAGAGGAGAGAGGGAGAGAGAGAGAGTGGGAGAGAGAGAGAGAGTGGGAGAGAGAGAGAGAGAGTGGGAGAGAGAGAGAGTGGAGAGAGAGAGAGAGTGGGAGAGAGAGAGAGAGTGGGAGAGAGAGAGAGAGAGAAGAGAGAGAGAGAGAGAGAGAAGAGAGAGAGGAGAGAGAGAGAGAGAGAGA